TTTCCAAATTGCGGTATTGAACCTTCCAACAAGCGCTTCGGGTCTGTGGATTTTGGACCAATTGGGCTTGGATTGGGTCGAATTTGGTCTAACTCATGGATTTCGTTTTCCGAAGACGCTCAGTTTGACTATATAAGCTCGCTGAACAAAAATGGAGGTTTCAAAATGCTCTTGATTTTAATTTTCGAAGTTTTCCAACTAGGCTTTTGCCTCGGAAGTATCGTGCCCCGGAACACTCAAAGATAAATCTTTGTGAAAATCGACGTTAAATGCCTGATTATATATTAGATATTTGATATTCAGACTAGCTTTTTGCATAAGTCGCGATATCAATGATAATTTGATGGTATCATATAATATTAGTATATACAATGAGCTATGAAAAAGAGAAGAGAGAAGAGATGAGAGGAGAAGAGAAGAGAAGGAGAGAGAGAGGAGCAGGAGTTGTGAGATTTGGGTAAGTTTTGGAAGGGTAGTAGACTGAGCTCAGTGTTGACGGGTATGGAACAGGGGTTCGGCGGCTTCTGTAGGAGTAGTTCGGCTGAGAGGAGGGATGTGTATGCAAAAGCTCATTTTAAGTGAACCATCGTGAGGGGATGGGATTCAGTTCAGTTGGCTTAGATAGAAGTCGCGATGTAACCGAGCGCATTCGACGACAAGGTAGTGGTTGTTCGACCTGAGGGGAGGCGATCGGACTTCGAAGAGGGCCTGGGATCTTGCGGCTTGCGAATAAAAATGGATTGGGGCTATAACAGTTCGTGGCTTGCGAATCGAGAAAGACTTGGGATTTGGGATCGAAGGGCTGGGCTTACTATGTGAAGAAGTTCCCTGTCTTTGTGTGAGATCACCTGCATTATAAGATTAGAAAACATAGCAGAGATTAAAGTAATAGAGAATTGCTTGAGGTAAAGCCATTGTATTCATCTCAGGTTGCTGCTACAGTAGAGAGTATATAAAGGAGGAAGATGATAGTGGCCGTTGGAAAGAAATGGCTGAGATTAACATAGCACCAGGCGATCAATGGACCCGATTGAACTAGCTCTGTAAAAGCTGCAGCAGCCGTTTGAGGTAGTGGATAAGTAGGCGAACATATCAAGTGTGCATATCATTTATCACCTCCCCGCAAGTTAACAGTGGTCTCTTTAAGTGTTAACTTGGTGCAAAGAGATTGAAATCGGGCAGCAGGAAGAGCCTTGGTGAAAATATCAGCAGTTTGGTCGACAGAAGCAACATGGTGCACTACGATGTGTTTGAGTTTGATACAGTCACGAATGTAATGGAAATCAACCTCGATGTGTTTCGTACGAGCATGAAACACCGGGTTGTTGGCTAGTGCGATAGCTGAAACATTGTCACAAAATAGAGTTGTAGGAGATGAAGTCTCAACCTGAAATTCGGTAAGTAACCTGCGAAGCCAGATAACATCACTGGCAGCAGCAGCCAAGGCTCTGTATTCAGCTTCGGTGGAGGAGCGAGCAACCGTAGTTTGCTTTTTGACACACCAGGAGACAAGGTTGGTGCCAAGGTAAGCACAATAACCAGTGACAGACCTTCTAGTGGTAGTGTCGGATGCCCAATCTGAGTCCGAATAGGCTTGAAGCTCAAGTGAAGATGATAGGATCGGTAAGCCAAGTTGAAGAGTGCCTCGAAGATACCGAAGTACTCTCTTGAGAAGTTGAAAGTGAAATACATGAGGTTTATGCATATGCTGACAGAGAAAATTAACAGCAAAGGACATGTCTGGCCTGGTTATGGTAAGATACTGTAATGAACCAACAAGCTGGCGATAAAGTTCAGGCTGAGCGAACAAGTCAGCACTATCTGTAAGCTGCGGTAATTTGGTGGGAAGAGGCGTTTGAACAGGCTTACAATCCTTCATGCCCGCTTTGATTAACAAGTTCTCAGCATACTGGGTTTGAGATAGATGTAAGCCGGAGGAAATCGGGATCACTTGAATGCCCAGGAAATTGGAGACATTTCCAAGATTGCGCATATGAAACCGAGAGTGTAAAACCTCAAGAAGCGAGTGAAGAACAGAGGGATCATTTCCAGTGAGTAGAATATCATCTACATAAACGAGTATGTACAGCTGGGTGGCGGCTTTGGAAAACAACAGCAAGGAAGGATCAGCGGTGCTTATACGGAAGTTGAAATCAGTGAGAAAGGACGTGAAGGTTGCAAACCATTGACGGGGTGCTTGTTTTAGACCATAAATAGCCTTTTTCAGCAAACAGACATGATCGGGGTAATTAGAATCAACAAAACCTTGGGGCTGCTTCATATAGACAGTCTCCTCAAGATGACCATGCAAAAAGGCGATAGATACATCTAGCTGCAAGATGGGCCAATTTCGGGATATCGCCACAGTAAATAAGATTCTAATTGTTGGAAATTTAGCAACCGGACTAAATGTGTCAAAATAGTCAATCCCAAATTCTTGATGAAATCCTTTGGCGACCAGCCGAGCTTTGTACTGAGCTAAAGAACCATCTGAATTGTATTTGGTCCGAAAAATCCATTTATTGCCAAGAACATTAAGACCAGGAGAAGAAGGGACCAGAACCCAAGTTCCTTGTTGTTGAAGAGCCTCAAATTCGAGAGACATGGCTTTTCTCCACACCGCATGCTTGACAGCTTCCGAGTAGCAGGAAGGAGTGACAGGAACAATGGAAGTTTGTAGATCAAATATTCTCTTGGGTTGAAGATGTCCAGAACGAAAACGAGTAGTCATGGGATGTTTGGACGTAGTATGAAGTGGCTGAACGGATGAAGATTTTGAGGAAGATGAATTGGAGATATGAGTGGTGGTTGGAGAAATAGGTGAAGTAACTTGAGAGGTCTTAAAGGCATTATATGCCGGTGGTAACCCCTTAAGGGTATAAAGGATTATATCAGCAGAATCAATGGTTGAACCAGCAGCTGTTATTGCATCAACCTTCTGTTTGATGTCCGATAAGTACTGGACCATGGTTTTGTCGCCCTTTTGTAGAAGATGAAGCTCACTCTTCAGCTGCAGTTGTTTGGAGGGGTTGGTGGACTGAAGCCGACGTTGAATGGTGGTCCAAATGGCATGAGAGGATGGTAGATTAAGAACATAGGGAAGTAATGAAGGAGAAATAGTAGCATATAGAGCAGAGGCTAAGTTTTGATCAATCAGTTTCCAGGTCTGATACAGAGGGTTGATGCTGGTAGAGCCATCGGATGCCAGAGTCAGGCGCGGGGGTTCTGTGGTGGAACCATCCAGGTAACTTTCAAAGCCATTGGCAGAAAAAAGAGTGAGGATTTGAGCTTTCCAGATAGGATAGTTGTTGGCAGTGAGTTGAGTACTGAGTACAGTTTTTACATTCATCATGATAAACTTGAGTTGAGCTGGGATGATAGATTCTATCATCGTGGCAGATTGAGAAGGGATTGGAATAGGAGTTACTGAAGATGCAGAAGAGTCCATCGAAGACAGTCAGCTATCAGACGCCGAACCTGGCTCTGATACCATGAAGAAGTTCCCTGTCTTTGTGTGAGATCACCTGCATTATAAGATTAGAAAACATAGCAGAGATTAAAGTAATAGAGAATTGCTTAAGGTAAAGCCATTGTATTCATCTCAGGTTGCTGCTACAGTAGAGAGTATATAAAGGAGGAAGATGACAGTGGCCGTTGGAAAGAAATGGCTGAGATTAACATAGCACCAGGCGATCAATGGACCCGATTGAACTAGCTCTGTAAAAGCTGCAGCAGCCGTTTGAGGTAGTGGATAAGTAGGTGAACATATCAAGTGTGCATATCATTTATCATTATGCAGGTTGGATGCTGGATTGGAATCGACGGCTTGATTGGTTTGGTTTCTTGCAAGCTGTAGTGGTGTGGAGGACTGGAAATCGAAGGGCTGGCGTGGGATTGAGGTAGTTCAGTCTGTGGTTCACGAGTAGAAAGGCTCAGCCGACGAAGTTGCTGATGGCTTAAGGAGGAATAGGGAGGCTTGCAGCAGGTGGAGGCGGGACCAATAGGAACCATACAGGGATTCAGAGATGGAAACGGGATCTAGCTAAAGGTGTTCGAACAGGTAAGAGGCCGGTTGAGTGGAGCTTATCGAAGGGTTCGCACGAGCTGGGAAGCTCAGTCTTGTGGCTAGAGGAAGAGGCGTCAAGTCTAGTCGTTGGCCTGCAAGGAGGAATATTGGAGCTTGCTGGCTGTAGAGGGGTCGGGACAGAGCAAGGTATCGACTACGGCCTGCAGGGCAAATCTCATGCGAGAGGAAGAAGAATCGAAGGGCTCCACTTTGCTCTAATTTTAACGACGTTAGTGGGAGAAGAGTCGAGGTGCAGGATGGGCTACTGTCGCGCGTTTAGAAACGATGCCGAACTGCAGGACATGGAGCAACTGTGTAGTGTGATATGATTTGAGAAGGGTTTTAGGAGGATTTGAGCATGAATTATTATTATTATTATTATTATTGTTATTATTTATTTTTGCTTTAGTGTAAAAGTAAACAGTTTTATGTGACCAAATCATCTAAGGCGGTTCTCTCTAATCTTATCTATCACTGGAGCTACTCCAACCTTTTCGCAAATATACTCATTTCATTTCGCATTTTGCTCAAGTGTAAAACCACTCATCCACCTGAGCATCCTCATCTTTGCAACACTTAATTTTATGCTTCTATTTTAATAGCCAATATTCTCTGCCATAAAGCATTGCAGATCTCACCACCATTTTATAAAATTTTTCTTTTAAGTTTGAAGGGTACTTTATACAAATAAATGATAGATAGTTACCTTAAGGTCTAAGAAATAGGAAAAACAGATTGAGTTTCTTAACAAACCATTCAATGGGCAAACAAATCAACATACCACTCAATGGACGAAAACATCCAGCTTTTAACCAACGGTTCAAAGCTTAATCTATTTGCTTAACAAAAAGATAAAGACCAACCTTACTGAAGAAGACTTGTGATTAACTTCGGAAAAAAAAAATGACTGCATTATATAAAATTTGTAACTTACCTTGGCAAATTTCTGGCAAAGAGTTGATGTTATTTGAACTTAGATAACTTTGCAGCTAACCTCTTCCTTACTGTGCTTAGATCTTTGCAATTTCGCTTTGATTTCTTTGTTTTTCTTGGCTTGGTCTTTCTTTCCCTGCGTTTACTTCCTTGGAGACGCTGGCGCCTGATTTCAGGATCAGCCCAACCTTTCCCCCAGTCAGAGAATTTAGAATATAGCTTATCATTTCTAGATGAGAGTAACATGTCTGCATAAGGATAAACATAAAAACAGTCCTCGGCATGCGAGTCAAGAAACTTCATTCCCAACTTCGTTATCTGTGGATATTTGATTGCAACACGAACCTGAAAAGATAGAATTATATAACGGAGAAAATTGCATAAATTTCTAAAGAATGATCATCTAACTGTCAGCAAATAATCAATTACATGTTCTAAGCAAAGATGAATCCACAAAAGGGGCTAAAAAGAGACCTGCCAACAAATGTATGGAGGTTGATTATGACAATGATAATTACAATTCTTAATCCATTATCCAGCTTTTCCGATCTTCCATTTTACCAGTGGACCTCAGCAGCTAATGACTATAGAACCACATCCTCAGTCTACATGTTTTTCTAAAGTGTCATTACTACAATTAACCTAGCTATATTATGTGAATTTAAGTGTTGGGCAATAAAAGAAGTCACTATAAGCCAAATTGAGCATAATGAAACTAAGAATGTTAAGATGGTTGGACTAGAGATGAGAGATTATGGAATGCAAAAAGTAGAGAGATGATGAGAATATATCTATTTAAGGCAAGATAATAAAATATAAAGTGAAGTGGTTTGTACATGCACACCAAAGCATGGAAAAAGCATCCATTAAAAAAGATAATTATTGTCGAAATATTAAGAATGAACATGGAAGACTTTAGGTAACATGGATAGTAGTTAAAAAATATTTGCTCAAAATATGTTTAACACCTCATCTAGCACTCGCTATGAACAAATGAAAAGTAAATATTCATAAAGCTGAACTCCAATAATTGAGATTAAGCTAATGATGATAATGAGAAAAAATTGCAATTCAATATTTTTTTCATGTAAAGATTTTATAAACCTTGCCATTAAATCTTTAAAATTGTCAAAATCTTAATATATGTCATCCCATCAACTTGGGCATGAGCAGACATGTCAAATGACCAAGGTAAAATAAAAGTTTATTCTGGAGGTCCCATGTCTTGGTGTGGAGTGCCTCTATGATTTTTATTTTTAATTTTGGAATTTTTGATATTAAATCTTGGAGTTCTTTCTTCTTCGCAGCACTTTTTTCTTTCCTGTTTGTTTCGTTGAGTGATTTTCAACGGGTATCAAAACCACATTCTTTAGTTCGAGTTGGAGTAATGACAAATGAAACGAGGTGCAAGATTGAAAAGTTTAATGGTCCAAACTTCACTTTCTGAAAAATACAAATTGAAGATATGCTCTTTTAGAAAAAGTTGTATTTGCCACTGGATGGAATCACCAATAAGCCATAGTTAATATCTATGGAGGAATGAGATGTTCTTGACCAGACAAACCTAGATTTGATTCGACTTTCACTTTCCTCATCTATTGCGTTCAACATTGTAAATGACAAGACTATGGTTGATCTCATGGTTGTATTAACTAAGATGTATGAGAATCCATCTGCTTCAAACAAAATTTTTTTGATGAAGTTATTCAATATGAAGGTGGTAGACGTAGTTCAATGGCCGAACATTTGAATGATTTAAACACTATGATCAGCCAATTATGCTATGTTGGCATTAAATTAGATGACAAAGTGAGAGGTTTGCTGTTGTTATCTTCATTGTCAAATAGCTAGGATGGGCTAGTTACTGCTATGAGTAATTATTCAGGGAGTTCAAAGTTAAATGTTGAGGGACATTGCAAAGTTAGTGTTGAATGAAGATGTTCACAGGAAGGCAAATGATGAATCTTTCAATTATGCTCCGAATGTTGAGACCAGAGAAAAGAGTTCAGACAAAAATCTGAGAGGAAGATCTAAATCTAGGATAGGGAAAATTCAAATCACGAAGAGGGTGTTTGGTCAAGAAAAAAAGGCGCGTAGGCATGAATTCTGTTTTGCAGACATAGGATTCCATTATCCTTAAGACAGATTGTATTTAACAAGATTTTCCCTGAGGATAATATCAGAGTCTATTTAGATCAGAATCCTTAGTTCCTATGAGCGCAAGCCCTTATAATTAATTACCTCTCTTACTATGTACGAGAGAACTCTCAATTAAGGATGAACAATTGTAGGTGTTTTAGTCTCATTTGCGGGGGAAATAGAGTTAAATCTGATCAAGATCCCATAGTTTGGGATATATGACTTCATTTAGAAGTTACCATGCTAATTTAATTGGTTCGGGGCTTACGACTTCCATTAGAAGTAGCCCGATAAGAAGTGGGTCTTTTAGTTTTCATTGAAAGTAGCCCTAGATTTAAAAAGTAGGTCTTACTACTTTCATTAAAAATAGCCTGGAGGTTTGATTGAGAGTTTAGTGCTTCTCTTAGAAGTCTCTCAAATAACAAGTCTTACAGCTTCCTTTGGAAGATGCATGATTATTTGAAGAGGTCTTATGGCTTTTGTATTTAGAAGCATTCTGAAGATTTGAGTTTGGGTTGGGATTTACGGCTTTCATTGAAAGTTGCTCGAGATTTAAAAAGTGGATCTTATTGCTTTCATTGAAAATAACCCGAGATTTAAAAAGGGGGTCTTACTGCTGTCATTTAAAGTCTGACACTAGTATTTCTGCTACGATAGTTTCTTTTCCTACTTGTAGTTTTGCATGTCCCTCCACAAGTACCAAGACAAATCCTTCCCTTCCAAACATAGGCCAGCTGCCATCAGTCTCTCCTCCTCATGCATTGCAGATCTCGTGCATTGCCGTTGCCACCGTCTCCAATCACTATCTTTGTCGCCGCGAACCTAAGTCTAATTCCGACACTATCAATTTTAATTTTTTTTTACATGAAATTAAATGCATGTGATCGCATTTCTTAGCAGGTGGGAAAATTTGTTTGCATGAAATTAAGTACCCGTGATAGCTTTTCTTAGCAGTAGAAAAATTTGTTTGTACAAAATTAAGTACCGGTGACCGCTTTTCTTAGCAGATGAAAAAATTTGTTTGCATGAAACTAAGTACTCTTGATCACTTTTCTTAGAAGGTGAGGAAATGCTATGCCTTTATAAATAGGTACTTGATGAGATGTGATTGCCTTTCTTGGCAGGAGGGGAATGAAATTTCAGCTGCGGTGTCACCTGACTGCCTTTCTTAGTAGGCGGGAAGGCTAGTCCCCAATGCAACCCCTACATAGGGATGACGCCGGGGTGCTGTCAAAATTTACAATAAATTGCATGACATAGAAGAAATAAAAAAAAAGGAAATCTATCCAAACTCTTAAGTCAACAAAAATTGTATGACATCCAAGATTTCAAACACTGAAAATAAAATTAAACAAACAAAAATCAAAGCATAACAAAACGAAGCTTGTAGTAAACTCATACGAGAACTAGTTGCTCATCAACAAGTATGAACCAAGCTTAACTACCTTAGCTCCTAGCTAATGCACACTCAAACCCTTTGCAACACACACCTTGTAAATTGAAATGTGCAAAGAAATGAATTAGGGTTGGGTTCCCTATTTATAACACAGAAAGTTGATGGGACCGGCTGAGCCAAACTCTAAATAAAAAATGACAAGGGGAGGAGTCATAGGTGCACAAGTGCCTACTGTATAACGTACATACCGTGAACATTTGCCTTCAAAAAGAAATAAAATAGCACACTAATATATGTCACGGGTTGTGCGACCCCGCATTAAAGTGTGCACGATGCGAAAATAACCAAAAGAGGGTGTCATTTACAAGTCCCCTATTGTATAATACATGCGTACCAAAGACGTACAAACATGTATAAACACAATAAGTGGCATGTATTTGTACCTCTAATCACATAAGGCACTTTATGAGAGCACTAAGTAATAAGCACATATATCGTTGATCATACAAATACACTATAAATACACCAATGATCATACAATCGTGCAAGCACATTGAGATTCATGCAAGTGCTTCATACAAGTGTATAGCACAATGTGTAAATGCATACACAAGTATACTATGCAACATACAAATGACGCATGCAAGCATGCCAACAATATGCAAATATATCATGCATACACCAACTAACATACAAATGTATAATGTATGTACAAAATATAAAGTGCATGCACCATACAACATACAAAAAAATGTCATGCAAGCACATGTTAAGTAGTGCACAAATGCATATGCTAACACACATGTATACATGCAAATACATATGCAAGTATGCCAACATGCAAAAGAATATGTGAATATACAAATATGTCATATACATCTACTGCATCACATACATATACATCATATAAATGTATTATGCGAAATGCACTCAAAAGCATGTTAACCACATGGGACCTGACGAGTGTGACATATACATGATATCTAAGAATGCTGTGCGGACTAAATAAATAATGAATGAATTTTCAAACGTGCAAAATACATTGACATACACATGTATATCACTTAAAATGAAATTTAGGATACTCGCAGGGCCTCGACGAGCATGACACATACATGTAACATATGAGGACACTGCACTGACTAATAAAAATAATAAATTAGATGTAAATCTATCGTTATGAAAAGTGTACAAACATATCGTACGAATATACTAGCATGCATAATATCATTTAAAATGAAATTTAAGATACCCACAAGAGTCCTATAGAGCGCGATATATGTACGCACGTGACGTTTGAGGATACTGCGTAGGTCAAAAACATAAACTTGACATGACTTGAAGCACTGACCAAATGCACCGTTGTTGTGCTGACCAGAGTATTTGGCTTTATACATTCATAATAAGCCTTCAAGGTTTATTACAAGAAAGGTTCACTATTAAAAACATAAACTCTCAGAGCTGACATTCTTTGAAGTTAATTAAAGTATTTAATTTTAAACATTCATATTAGGCCTTCAAGGTCTCTTATAAATAAAGTTCATATATTAAAATGAATAACCCCAATTTTGATATCATCACTTTGCAGTTCAATCAAATTCTCTATTTGTAAGCGAACAGAATTGGCAAGGTTCAACTAATAAAAGAAAATTACCCATAAACCTCGATGATGGCCATGTTGATTGAAATCTCAACCAGAGGAGATTATACCTTTTAAATGTCTCCAAATCTCAAAATAAATCATTAAGGGGATAAAAGTTAAATGAAAGTTCAAAACTCAAAAATCACAGATATTCAAGATGAAATAATTCACCTAATAACTTAAAGGAAAAATTCATTTACCCTCCATTATTTTTACTTTTATTTTTATTTTATTTTTATTTTTTTTTCATTTACCCTTCACTATAGTTTATCAAGGTGAATAAATTTGAAAATCACTTCAACTCATAAAGAGCGAATGTTTAGTCGAGAAAATTACTATGATTTATTCTTAAATCATCTACTGCTACTAAAGATGTGGAATGTGTCATCTAACCGATAATTTTGCCGCAAAATGACATCACAGATAAATGGTTATGAGGGCCCTCTAACCGGGTGGTTTTATCGCCAAATGGTACCACTAAATTATGGTTATGGCCAGAGCTCGTATGTTCTCAAACGACTCTAAACTTTTTACTAATGAATCAATAAGGTATAATCGATAGGGCATAGCCCTATGTTAGCTAAGGTGGACTCAATTTTGTCTTCTCAAGCAAACATTCACCCCAACTCTACGAGTTACCCTTATACGAAATAACCCATGGCTACCAACAAGGATCCTTGAGTCAGTTTGGGTCGATTACCTCCTATGACTAAGTAGACTATAGAGGCCACGATGGCCCAGGACGACGGAACCATATAATCTTAATTGGGTTCATCATCATTCCGTCCACCATCTGCTTTAAGTGCATGGTGATAAATTTTAAATTTTTAATATATAATTATACTGCCATTATATGCTGGATACTATGTATCTGTTCAACGACTAGCCTTAATCGAAAGTTCTCTCATTATTGGGAGGGGTAATTAACTATAGGGTTTTGTGCCTATAGAAAATCAAAACTCAAATCATAAAGTCCTCGCAAAATGAGAGCAAAATCTCTGAGTAGTGTTATATCTAAAAATCTAATCTGTCTTCTAAAATATTTACCCCAGAATCTAAACTTGTTAAAACTCTCCTCGTCGACACGAAAAAGAAAGGTTCGCGGAGAGCCCGGGGTGCGAATTCCTGAAGCAGAGTAAGAATAAATGGAGATGACTTTGTATACTTCAGCAGTTGAAAGTTTGATGTATGCTATAATCTGTATGAGACCAAATATAACATATACAATGAAAGTAGTCATTCATGAGTAACCCATGCAAATTTATTGGAAGGTGGTTAAGTGGATTATTAGGTATTTGAGATTGAAGTACTCAACTTTGGACGTGTAGGAGTTAATCTACAGGAGTATACAAATTCTGATCCTACTGGAAATCTTGATGGTAAAAGGAGCACAATTGGTTATATATTTACTTCTGAAAATATTGCGGTGAGTTAGGTTTCCAAGTTATAGATAATAAATACTCTCTCAACCACAAAAACCGAGTATATTGTTATCACTGATGCTAATAAGGAGATGATATGGTTGCAAAGTTTTATAACAAAACTTAACAAAGGGCAAAAAAATGAGAAGTTACATAGTAACAACATGAGTGCTATCTAGCCAAGAATGCTACATTCCATGTTAGGACGAAGCATATCCAACTTCGATATCATTTCATTAAATCACTTCTGGAAGATGATTAGTCGTCTTTGGAAAAGATGCACATGACCAAAAATCCTGCAGACATGCTGATGAACATGATGATAATTGATAAAATGAAGCTACGCTGGTCTTCATGAAGGCTAAGGGCAGGGGTGAGCCATACTACAGGGTACCACTATAATGAATACTACATATCGATAAAAGATTGATCACAATTAATTTTCAAGTGGTAGATTGTTAGCTTTGTATGGAATTCGATTGTGTCAATCAATCGGTTTGTACTGTTGTCTCATATCTCAATCTCATCGGTCGACCTCTCTGGGGACGTTGTACTCTCCCTATTTGGGGTTAGCGGCCTTGCACCTGAAAATTTTTTTTTTCACTTACAAAAAATTCAACACTATATGCTTCAACAATGCATCACTTCAAGTTCGGGCTAGAAATAGAGAGCGGAACACTATGCCGCTCCAACCTCTAGTGCGGCAATGCTATGAGCAAGGCAAGAGAAAGAGAGTTGAGCATTGTCGCACTCCAATCCTCAACATTGTGGTGTTGTAAGTCGGGAAAGGTAGTTTTCTCTCATTTTCATGCTTAACTTGAAGGGTTATGTCCTTTCATATAATTGAAGTGCATCTCTTTGTGTTTTGATGTGAGAATGATGTGAACTGTGGAGAGATAAGGGGAGAGAGAGAGAGATCTATATAATTTCTCCCATTTCATAGTGGAATTCTTGATGTGGTGTGACTCCATAATTTTTCTCGATTTTGATTTTTTTCACAATAAATCATGGTATTCTTTCTTCTTCATTCCAAATCTCGTTTCTTATTTGTGTTTGTTGCATGATTTTATTCCCAACTCCATGTTAGAATCAAGGAAAAGTGATGGGGACATCAGATTTCGACACGTGTACCATCGCCGGAGACGGCGATCGACGGCTACGATCCAGAGTCTTTATTTTTGATTTATTTGCATCTTACATTATGAGTGTATTTTCTTTTATTTTCCTAGTTTGCCCCTGAGGGCATTGTTTCACTTATGTAGCACTGAGGGTGTTTCTGTCTTTTCAGTTATGTTTATTTTGGGCCTCCTTATATGAGGCATCATGCATTGTAATAGTTTAGTTTTGATGAAATGAAGAATATTTCCCTTTGTTCTCTTTGTGAGTGCACTTCTCTTAGATCTCTTAGTGAGTTCGACGGGAAAACTAGATCTCTTTGTGAGTTCTAGATTTAGTCCAAAGATTATTGTGTGGAGATCGGGTGTTAAAGATAAACGAGGTGAGTGGAATCAACGCAACGAAAATCCTCAGATTTTCACCTCTTCCCTTCCCCTCACCTTGTTGCCGCCGCCCCCTTGGAGCCGTAGCCAACCCGCCGGCCTGCAAAGCTCCTCCTGCCAGCCAGCCATCCGCCCAGCCACCCGCCGGCCGCCTGCAGATTCCCTTGCCGCCGGCCACCGTGAGCCCATACCGCCGGCCCCCCTTTAGTCCTCCTTGCAATTTGAATTTCCCTCCCTTAATGACCTTCCTAATTGAGTCACTTAAATTAGGGAATTAATTAAGGGGAGTTACGATCTTTTGAAATTCAAATTCCCTCCTAATTTTATTTAAATTAGGGAGTTACATGAAACAATTAAAATCTGAAATCAAAATTTCAGATTTTGATTAATTACTAGGGGTCCCCACCTACTTAAATCTCCAACCTCTCTCCTCTCTACATGGCCGGCCCTCCCTCATCTCTCTCCCCTTTTAATCTTCTTTAATACACCATTAACCCTTCCCTCCTAATCTTAATTTCAAATTCAAATTCTGAAATTGAAATTAAGAGCACGCCAATTTCGAAAATCTGAATTAAATCTTAGATTTTAAGCTTTTCTCCCCCATAGCTCCACCCGCCCCTAGACCCTCTCCAACCCGTGACCCTCCTCCCTCTACTTGCTCACGGCTTGCTCTCTCACCTCCCCTCTTTGTCTTCATCACTCAGTACCACCATGCATGGCGGACCCCGAGTTTGAATGGGGGCTTGTGTTCGACGCCCACCGTAATCTCGACGTCCTACAGTCGCCGTTCTTCGACGTGGGATTTGACTCCGACGACGACACCGTTGGAGCTTACTTGGATCGGATCCTCTCGACCCTCATACAAGTCATCGACAGACAAAGTCCAGACTACGAGTGGACCATCGACGTCCGACCTTCCTCGCCACCTCCACATCCTACACCTTCCTCTCCATCACTACGGATCGCCGGCATCGTCTACCTCGGAGTGGTTTCATCCCTTATGTGGTTCTTCTTCTCCCGACAACCCTAGACATAGACGAGTGAGCTTAAGCCTCAAGGTGAGACGATCGCTTTGTTAACCGCCGGATTCTAGTTGGCTTTTCATTGTCATTACTATTAATTGCCATCGTTATTTTATTGATCTTGCTAATTTAGTGGTAACAACTTGCCTAAACGTGGTTAAAATCTAAGATCTTTTTTGAAGCATCAATTGTGAGAATCATCAAGATTGTACTTTCATTATTTTAACGAACTCTTATTAATTTATTAAGATTCAATTCCTGGTTTCACATCAAAAAATCTCTCCACAAATACAAGGATAAGATCATGCACAATAACCCACTTGCATTAGTGGGAATTCTATGCCACAGGGAACATCCATTTTTTACGTGATATTCGTGAAATAATTCTATTAGTAAGGACTTGAAAATTGTCAATAATTTATCCTCGGAAAACACTACAAAAACAAGATATGCAGGGAATTGACCTTGAGATACTTTACTCAATATATGTCAATTAATCCATTACAAAAAATATCACAATTTGAAATCTAATGAAAAAAATGGATGAAAAAGATCCATTTGAATCTCATTGTTGACGGGCATAAAAATTGACCTCCAATTGAAACATTTCAATATATGAGGGATAAATATGACAGAACAATCAAATGTGAATTGCCTAATTGATATTTAAAAAAATTAAAACTTAGAATTATATTCATATGAACCATCAAATCACTAAGCTCAAGCATTCAAAAGTTCTTAACATTCATCTATTTTCCCAATCTATGGAATCTTACAAAAATGCAATCCCCAATATTTGACTAGTTGTTGGTTCAAACATCTTTTTCCCAGCGAAATAAATCACCCTTACAATCACAGCAGTTGAAAAGCCTACCAAGTTTGCAAGCCCAAACTCGCCCTGCCATGCCCGACCCTGCTCAAACTTAATAACTTCCAATTTGCCAAGGTGAAGTGAGTCAAGTAACTATAAATTTGTTTCTATTCATTAAGTTTGGAACACACTGTGGAACTTAGTAAATAATCACATAAACATGAGGTAAATTTTCAAATAAACAGAAAAATTAGTTACTATTTTGTAAGTTAAGGCTAAACTGAGACTGATGGGAAATAAAATCTCTTGAACATCAACAGAGATTTGATAAGTGCTAATGATCAAGGATATTTACTGAGATAAAAACAATTTCACTAATGAGGATACCTGATCATCAGCTTCTTTAATAAATTTCATATCTTCCAGTATGCGTGCAAGACCCCTCCACCATACTCTATCGGTTGCAACAAATTTTGGATGCTGTTTAAAATTCAATAACAAACAAATTATCAATAGAAACTAAGAGAAATAAAGACTACCCATAACAATACTACATAAACTATACTTCATAGAATGCTAGTTTAACGAGAAATTTAAACATTTTTAACTGAAGCTTGATTTATTATTTGTAGTAAGTTTTATTTATCAGAATAAATGAAAGCAATTGTTTGGTCTTCCTTAAGGAGCATCGAAGTAAAATATATTTAGGAAATCTTTAAACGTTACTTTCCTACATATAAACCTTCATATTTTTCAGAACCTAGACTTCATCAAATTTTTAGAAACAAGTAGTCATGGCGTATACCATGTAGCCATTGATACAAATCAAATATCACTCTATTAAACTTTTTTATCAATTCCTTTACTTATCATAACTCATTAAGCCATAATCTAAAAGATGCTAATGAGTCCATAGTGTGATCCATTTCTTTCTCACACTCATAGACTTTCAGGAAATGACTGTTGAACAACATGAAGTATCAAGGGACTAGAATAGGTTTCCAAAGTTTCACCTTAGCTAGTTGATAAAAGCCTAGCAGAAATTTTATTTAATTTTGAGAGATTGAGGTTTCTAAAAGGTGCAAGCTCCCATAGTTAATTACAAATGGACCCAACTCGAGAACACTCTTGCTTAACGATATCGCTATGCTCAAGATTGGTGATAGAGATTTGGGTCTATATATATATATATAGAGAGAGAGAGAGATTAGATGGTATGGATGATCAATCCCAAGATTGGATGCCACATCATCTAGGAAGTCTAATAAGCATCTATAAGTTGTCTTTTATCAGGTATCTTTCCGAGTAGACGAAGGTGAAAGCATGTTGAAGGGGAAGGGCATATCCCTTAAACATGAAGCCTAAAGCTGGATGTTGTATCCATGGGTTACCTCGAGTAGGGAGTTATGAGTTAAACTAAGCTAGCTCATTTCAAAGCAATGCCTTAAGCACATAATAAAGCAATATATGATTTGGTAAGCATAAGAATTACCTTGGCAAATATGTTTTCATATTAGGAAGTTTGGATCCTGGTGTTGTAGATATCAAGTGGCACAAAAAGTATGACTTAAGTAGTTATGGTCCAACCAAGAGATGAGGTGGGACTTATGAGGTAATGATCAAGTTATGGTCCAACCAAAAGATGTAGGTGGGACTTATGAGGTAATGACCAAACCCAATGATGTATTTGGGACTTGGGGGTTTATGAACTAATCTTAGATATGACGAAATGCATGTTAACTAAGTCCAAGCCAGTCATCATCTTGGTGATAGTTTAGGATCGGCCTCACATCTCTTGAAGGTAAAGAAGCCAAATAGTGGGTCATACGTCCTTGCCATATAAGCGAGTTAGCCCAGATCAAAAAAATTCACAACAAGAAGTCATAAAGGTCGTATACAAAAGTTAAGCCAAATACTTCAATGAACATCAGGTATCATGCCACTATTCTACTATTAGACATGCCCAAATGTGTTGACAAAATTCCCCTGGGATCACACATCCCAAAAATTGGAATTTTTCGGAGCCCACAAAATGGTAGAGCTTAATGTTCTACTATTAGAGATATCCAAAGGGTAGAGCTTAATGTTCTAGTATAAGTGGCAATTTGAACCTCTCAATTAGAGGAAAACTAAAAAATGAGTCTGATTATCTCATCCTATAAGGGTGACAACATGAATCCATGCATATTGACTAAGTTTAAATTGATCATTATATTGAGCTAGTTTAAGGTATGGGACCTGGGCCGTTGTGGGCTCCGAAAATTCGGGCCCCGGCCTCTCTGAGACACTATTTTTTTGTTTGTCGGCGAGGAGAGTTTTAACAAGTTTAGGTTGTCACGACCCGACCCGTTTAGCTCGTATAGACGAGGCGGGAACGGAATCGGACGTTCAGAACATTTCAATCATCTTAAAACATGTATTTAAAACATGTATTTAGTGTTTTCTTTTGTCGTTAGAAAATTCATTGTGAAGATATGATTATTGTGGCTTCTAACACTTAAGCGTGCAAGCTCTTCAAGTAATTCAACTTTGCATGATCGTTCTACATCATCTTGGTATCAGAGCATGGTAGACATGCATCTCATGTACTATAAAACATCTTAGGGTCTAGCCAAACATTGGTCTTAAAGTTCGCATGCATATCATTGTCTAGATAGCTTTAATTCTCTGTTTTTGCTTGCTGTCCATGCATTTCCTGCACGTATTTAGTGGAGCTTAAGTCATTTTCACTAGTGTCTTAGTGCTGCCATCAAGCCTACAACTCTCCTAAGTGCTTAGGTTGCTTACACCATTAGTATAAACTGCTGTCCAAACTTTTCCTGCACCAATTAGCGGCCTTTAGGTTAGTCTAAGCTAGTGTTTAGGTGCTGTCCACACTCTAGAAACCTTCCTAAACACTTAGACAACTTTATGCCTTGCTGTAGTTTGCTGTCCACTTCATTCCTGCACTCATTTAGTGAGTTGTAAGCTAACTTCTTAAGTGTTTAAGAGCTGCCCATATCCTAAAATCTATCCTAAACACTTAGGCAACTTCCTCAACTGTTGTAGTTTGCTGACCACACAAAATTCTGCATTGCTTGGTAGCATTTAAGTGAGTCTAACCTTTGATTTGGGTGCTGCCCAAGCCTTAGCAACCTTCCCAAACACCTAGTGACTTAAACCCTTCTTGTAGCTTGCTGTTAAGTATTTTCCTGCACCATATAGCAAGTCAAAATGATGTTTTCTCTTTATAGAGTGTGGTCCCTTGCACCAAATCTTCATTAAGTTTCACTTAGCGCTTCCCCCATGGACCCGATAGGGTTTCAAAAGAAGTTAGATGACCTAGTTAATCTTGTGAGCTCTTTAACTAAAACCCCGAAGGAGGAACATGTTCAATCTCCCCACTCTAGGTATGTGCCCCACTCGATCAATACTGTTAGTCGGAAGATGCCCCACCCTTCTTATCAACCTAGACCGGAGCCTAAGCCTCAACGACCTCACTTAGAATCGCATTACAGTCTACCCACCTTTGATGGTTCCTCATACCCTTATTACTTTAGGGAATGGGCTAGACAACTAGAGGACTATTTTGAATCATGTCATATCCTTGAGTTCCACCAGGTTAGCATCGCTAAGGCTCACCTAAAAGGTCGGGCTCTTCAATTCTGGATGAAATTGGAAGATCATAAAGAGTTTCGCAGTGAGTACCCTACTTGGAAAGACATGAGACGAGAACTTAATTTAAAATACCGACCCTCTACTAGTGACCGTCATCTAGAGCATCACCCTACCTCTTTTATTGGGACAACCCGTGGACATTATTGTGATCGAGATTACCCACCCATTAGTAACATCAGGGTTGCTGCCCCACCCTGTAGGTCTTCACCAAACCTTGATGGCCGACCCTCTATTGGGTCTTCTGTTGGATCGGTCCCATGTGAATCCCCACTTAGACCAACTTCTAGCCATCCAAGTCAACCTTTAGCCTCCCCAGTCCTTGACCCTGGAAGTGTAATTTTAATAGAGAAATGCGTTAAAAAGAAAAGGTCCCCTAAACCTGAGGTTGAGTGCATCCATTTCGTGGATGCTAATGCTATCACTGATAACAAAGAATTCTTTGAAGATGAGACTGAAGTGATTACATTAGACTCCCTACATGATGTAAATCCTAATTTAGGAGATCTAGAATCCTCAAACCTTGATATCTTAGCCCATCCTGATCCCAATCTCATCATGGATAGCCCTTTGGATAAGGTCTGCCTGGAGAATATTAATCTGATCTCCAATGAAACTGATCTAACCTTGAATCCTTTGGAATTAAATTTAGAAGATTCTGATTTAATTGACCCCGAACCTGATCCTACTAAGATTATTAATATGAATTCGGAAGACAGTCATTTGAATCTAAACAATTCTGAGCCCATGTTGAAAATTGAGCATCCTCTTGTTTTATTGGAGTTTATTTTAGGAGTTGTCCCTTTAGAGTTGCATTTGAAAGAGTGTAACTTTCTTGATTGGATTTATCCCATCACTCCTCGTACTGACCTTAATGTTAGAGAGAGTCTTAGCCCATACTTTCATGTCACCACTCTAACTGTTGTGCCCACTTCTGTTATGGGTACCCTACCCAATTGCTTGAGTCTCATACATGATGGTGACTCTTTGGGTTATCCCATTATGGATGTGAGTCAGGACCCATCACCTTATCTTGTTCCTGATTCATTCGTGTTGCCCGATATAGTCTTGTCCTTCCCTGTTAAGGACCATCTCTCTCCTAGTTGGATGAATTTGCTAGACTACACTATCGTCCCTAGGAGACTACCTACGACCATGACTGAAATTTCCTATAAGAATGCCTGGTAGCAAAGGATGTCTTCGTTGCTCCCCCGACACCAGTTCCCTTAGACCTGAACACTATAGATCCCCTCATTTCATGACTCTTCCACCTTATTCTATCTATGTGTTTTTGTGAGTTAGTATGTTGTGTGTGTGTTTTTGTAGTATGTTATCTTCCAAATTTTCTCTGTTTAAAATTTATGTGTGAATCCACATTTCATTCATCTTGCATATCAAGTCTTTTACACCACTTCATTTTCACCTTGTTGAGGCTTGAATTTTAGACATGTGAATTCACATAGCACATGCCGCATTTACATTGCATCCGCATGACCTACTTAAGGAAATTACACGCCTAATTGAATAGAATGACAATAATTATAGACTTCATGCTGAATTTAAACGACAAGCTAAAACTTTTGAGGTTGGTGATTCAGTGATTGTGCGGAGTCGTCTGGCGCGGTTCCCACAAGGAACTGTAAAGAAATTACATGCTAGAAGTGTGGGATTAGTTAAAATAGTCAATAAAATCAATGACAACGCTTACGTGGTGAATCTGCTTGTAGAGTTCAACATTCATTTCTTTTCTAACATAAAAGATTTAGTAGCCTATGAAGATCCAGAGTTTAAACCCCAAAGCCACCCCAAATTAAGCCTTGTGTGACCCCACCTTGTGAGAACTCCAAAGCCTACCTCCACTCCCAAAATTATTCCCAAAATTCCTATAGCGAAGAATGTTGACATGATTCCTAGTGATGATATTATTTCCACAAAAGAGGGTGGACGAAGAAGATATTTGACTAGGTGAAGAGGTAAACCAAAGTCAGAGGATACGTGGTCAGAGCGCGAGGAGCTACAACAGATAAACCCAGATGCACGAGGAGTTTTCGAGACACCAACTCGACGGAGTCAAGTTTTCTCCCACCTGGGAAGAATGATGAGGACATCAGAAGATCAATGATCTACGGTCACGATCTACTTTTGATTATTATTGTATTTGATGTATTTTAGTTTATGTTTTATGAGTCTATTGTATTTTTTTCCGTTTATGCCCTTGCTTAAGGGCCTCGTCATGTGTTTGCCTTAGGGGCAAGTGTGCCTTTGTATTTTCTTTATTTCGTTGGCTATTTAAAGCCTTCCCCCCTCTTCATGTAAGGATGATGAATATTGAAATGAAATCTTATTTTTTCTTTGCTCGATCTCTCAATGAGTTCATGGGAGGAGAGACCCATGGTGGGGGCAATCGCAATACCAGTCAACCTTTCGAAGAGTCCAAGGTTCGCGGTTTTACGATCTCTTTGTGAGTTTGTTAGTTTACTTTTATCTTATTTGTATTTTCTTTCATCTCCTTTCTCCAAGTCAATCGCCGGCCACTTCCAACCTCCCCCACCCAATTCATCTTCTAGCTCCACCACCTAAATCTCACCCACCAACCTAGCCACAACCTGCCACCTAGCCGCCCTCCACCGGCCATCTCATAATTTCCCCCTCATTATGATGATTTCAATCACCATAATGACTTCGTAATTTAGCTTAAGCATGAGAGGAAAAATTTGAATTCATTTGAAATTCAAATTCGAATTTCAAATTCTTTCTATATAGGGAATTCCAAATTAGGAAAGTATCAATCATGAATTCAATTTCAAAATAAATCAAATTGGATTTATTATTCCTTTTCCTAATCTTCATCGCCTATTTGGGAACTCCCATATTTCTCTCCCCAATCCCCTCCACCCCTCATGATGCCGCCGAATCCATGATGGGCTCCCCCTCATTAAATGCTCATTTAATCCCTCAACCTTACTTGAAATTTGAATTTAATTTCAAAAGATTTTCCCTCCAAATCCACTTAAGCTGAAATTAATTTCAGTTTTCCAATTCCCATCCTCTCTCCCCAATCTAAATTTCTCCATTTAATTCTCCAACATAATGTCACTAATCGCACCACAATTTCAGCCGCCACATTCCCCTATCCCTAGCCGAATTAATCACCCCTTCAAACAGAACCCGGCCATCAAGAACCTGATCCAATATGCTGTCCATCCATTCTGACCCAGGAAATACTGTCCAGAAAACTTCCAACCAGCAATTTTGCCACCACGTCACTCCCGTATACTAAATAGCAACCCTCCAAGAGCAGCCTAGGATTTCCTAGGCACTACAGTTTTTCGTTTAGGCTACCCCAAGCATCAAGATTGCTGGCCAAGATTTGCATGACTGCTGTCCAAATCAGAGTTTTGCATCTAGAGAGGACTCCACCTACTGTCCTGAAGTCCAGAAACAGGAAATTGCTGTCCTGTATTCCTGGAATCCTCGTTTTGCTGTTTTGGAGGCCTCCAATCCCATTCCAGCCAATCCAGTCGAAGGTTTTCTCTGCTCAGGAGTCCTAACCGCAGCCACATATCTTCTCTCTTTGGGTAAAGCTCTTTCCCCGACTCGTTTATCTTCGTAGTTACTCCTCAATTGTGGTCTTAGTAGAGCCATGAAGATAATGTTGACACTCCTCCGCTAAAACCTTAGTGATCTAGTGAGTAGAGTGATGGGTCCTTGAATAGCAACTATCCTCATTGTTAATTTAGGGATTTATTGTTGAAACCATTCATGTATGCAACGTTAAATTGACTTGATTGTTTTATGATCTTAACTCTTACGCGTGTGATTCAGCCTAAGCTTATTTTACCGCTCTTTGTGTTTTCTTTTGTCGTTAGAAAATTCATTGTGAAGATATTATTATTATGGCTTCTAACACTTAAGCGTGCAAACTCTTCAAGTAATTCAACTTTGCATGATCGTTCTACATCAATAGTTTAATGACTTTAATCTAAATCCTTTATTTGTTGAACCAAATTCAACAAATAATTCCATATCAAACGAAGGAATCAAACTCCTAGTTTTCTTTCATTCTTCTAACCCAAATTAGGTGAATGAATTCCTCTCTTTGGACACCCGAAAAGTTCAAAGAATCCTTGATGCGTAGGCCCAAACCTACACATCATTTTATTATGTTTGCTTAAACTAAATCTAGCAAACTAAATACCCATCATTGAACATAAAAGTTCAATGATAACCTCTCTTGAGTTGTAACCCCAAAGTTACAAATCTTTCTTAGTTATTGAGTTAAACTCAATGAGTGACTCACATTCGTTTGCCTAATCCAAATTAAGCAAATGAAACTCAACTCTTTGAATAAAAAAATTTAAGAAGATTCTCTTTTGGATTTGTAGCCTCAAAGCTACTAATCTTCCCTCACTTCTATAGGTTCCAAAGGCCTTAGAAGATGTCATATCTCAGCCCAAAAGCTATAGATTCTCTCTCCTCCAACTCCAAAGTTGTAGGGGATTTCCCCTCTCTTTAGCTCCAAAAGCTAGAGAGAGTTCTCCAATATTTAGCCCAAAAGCTACATGTTGGACACTTATTTCTTAGATCCAAATTCTAGGAGGACCCTTGGTGTGACATACCATACAAGTCTCACACACTTAGGTGCACAACCCCTTAGGCATACATGTTTGTAATAACTGAGACATTATTTACACTTCTGTTTTAATTTATATACAAGCATGAGTTGATGTGTTTTTTGGGTGCACATTAAAAAAGCATTTATTTTTCCTACGTTTCTTCTATTGCTTTGTTTGGGTGTGGCCTGGACTCTGTTGCGGTAGACTCTTAGGATAAAATAAATTTTCTACCTCTTAAAAATGTAAACAATCTAAAAATGAGATTAGGCTCCATGATTTTTCTGAATAAGAAAATTGCATGGCTCCCTTTCAAGGAGTCAAATTTTCAAAACTAAAATAAACATGCATAGCCTAACAAGTGTCTTATGTAGAAAAGCCCTCACTTAAAGACTAGATAATAAAAATCTTTCTTTTTGTGAGTCAGTATATGCATACCCACATAAATAGGCATCTTGGCCTTAAAGCCAAGCTATAAGCCCTACCTTCTAAATAAAAAAAACAACCTTCCCACTCTTCATATACATTGAGACCAAGATACATGGTTTTAAAAGCGATTAGGAGGGTTTAACGTGTAGTCCCTTCCAGGCGAGACAGTGAATCCAGAGGTCGGGCAGGCCAGCCTCTTGTGAGGTGTAATTTGTAAGTCCCTCTTGCACTCGTCAGATTTAGATTCGAGGCACTACCTATCAGTAGTCCTCACCTTAGTTTTAGGGTCAGAGGTATTGGTTGATTCCAAATCACCCTATAAGCCCTCACCTTTCGGGCAATTTCTCCAATATGTGTCGTTGGAATGTAAGCCCCAACTTTCCAATTAAAATATCAACTTAAACAAAATTAGATTTCTAAAATATAAAGCCCAACATAAGATAGTTTGAGCACCTCTGAGTTTCCCTCAGAATCAAGTGCTCCTACTTCACCTCCTTTGGCTCTCATTCCAAAATCTAATTCCTAGTTGATCACATCTTCCTTGAAATGCCTAGAGGGATAAAAGCCTTTAAGCAAAACTTACATGGATTTAAAAAACCAAACTCTAGCCAATGTTTAAAATAACTTCCAAGAAAAGAAAACTATTAGTTTAATCAAAAGTCCTTCCAAGCCAAAGCTTGTGATGTAATTAACATCCTAGGATCTAGAATAAATCCTATGGTCGGGATTCTAGGAGGATCCTAGAGTTTGGATTGGTCTAGAGATAAAATTGATTTGGGGTCAGGACTGGTCCAGGTGACCTCATACAAAAAATGAGGTCAACAAGTTGGTAGAATTTTTTTTTTTAAACCTGGTGCAATATTTAGATTTCAATTGTTACTGGGATATGCTAATTTCTTTCATGTTTTACACCTTTGTAAACCTCCATTTATAGGGCCTGTTTTCCGCTATTACAAAGCAATGAAGTATTCCACCATCCTTTCTCCTTTTCTACTTATTTCAAAATCAAAGGCAAATAAACCTTAAATTTTATCAGAGCCGAAAGGAAATAAAGCACATCAGTCCACTTTTAATCAGAAAAAAATATAATATTTGCTCAGCTACCATATATTTTCCAAGCTAGCATCAATACATGAACAGCAAGACATTATAACTCGCAAGTAAACAATGCTAAATGAAACAAAAGAGATAACACAAAATATATCTTTAACACTAAAAATTCGTACATAAATTACTATTTAAGAATCAACCTGTTCCCTTATTCTACTGATCGCATCCCTGAGGTTGGGTCTCTCTATGAACTTCTTTCTACTGGATTGACCATATATCGCACCACTATGAGAAGCAAATACAAAACTTGTTTCATCCTGCAATGTTGTAAAGCAGGTTAAATTACCACAAATGGAACCAATCTAAATCTGCTGTGTTATAGCATGCACACAATGCCTTAGTAATGCATCTCGTCATGGAACAAAACCAACTAAATCTATAAACCAGTTAATAATTTTATAGTATAATTTACAAAACCAAAATAAAATAAATTTGGAAATGCACTATTCAACCTTTCAAAGTTGATAACAATTTGGAAAAATGTTACAAAAAATGCTATAGGAACTAATAATTTTAAGGCGGAAACTTCACTGAATACTCCTCTTGTTGACTAACGAAAAAAAAATCAATAACGATAATACTGAACGGATGAAAAATAACCGCCTCTGTCGACCCCACTTAGTCAAACAACGCGTCTCTTCGGAGAGTCGATAATTCAAAACGATAAAATGATGGAATTCGAAAGAAAAAAAAAAACTTACGCCTCCATCCGTGTTGCTGTACGACTCCGACTCCGTCATTGCTGTTCGACGTCGCCCCTCCGACTCCGTCGTTGTCGTTCGAATCTGCTCCTTCGACCCCTTGATAGGTTGACATCTAGGGTTCGCCTTTCATCTTCTCTTTGCGTTATTGATGTTCGGCTATGTTGCTTCGCAGGAAGTATAGAGATTGCACGCGACGCTCCTTCGCTCCTCCCCTTGCACGTGAGCCCCTGCCGACCGTGCCCTAGCTGACCCAACCAAGAACCGACCGACCCGCCTGAGCCGCCTCCGTCACCGTCTCCGCCGCCGCCTGCCGATGCCGAGCCTGTGCGTGACATCCGCCTCGGGCTCTACCCGATTGGGCTTCCGGGTAGATGGTTTTAAAAATTGAAGATCTCACGTAGTCGATCTTAGATCATGGTGAGATGGTTTGAAATCAAAGACCCTACGCCGTCAACCTTAGGTCCGGGTAGGAAGAATTACGGCGGTGCCGTCCCGATTTCTCCCATGGTGGGGAGGAGACGCCGGGAGGCTGCCGAAATTTTTCGATAAATTATAGAACTTTTTCTGCTTAAAATAATTGGGGAGAAAGTCAAATCTAATCAGTTAAATTACTTCATCTCGATTAAAATTGAGTATTAAATTATTTAATTTGATTAATTGAAATTAATTAAGCCAAAATTAATTAATTTTGATTAATAAAATTGAGGTCCAAAGAGCTATTATTTTAAGAATTCGAGATTTTTGTTTAATTCAATCAAAAAAAAGAAGAAAGAAAGACGAGCAATAAAAGAAAGGATAGTTTTCATTAATTGACATATACAATATTGATTTTTGGAATTCTCTCAAAACTCTCAAACTCCCCAAATCACTTGTACAAATTGCTCTCAAACGACAAAACTCTCAAAACACTGATATCAAACTCAACAAGCGAACAATCTAATTCAAATCCCTGGGCAGCCTTGTTTATAAGAACTCGGTTGTAAGACCCACTACCCGGCAACTTTCGTAGGAAAGTCGTAAGCCCGACCTTAGGGGGAAATTTTAGGTAAAAATTGACCTAACTCCTAATCTCTAATTAAAACTATCCCGACCCCTTTTAATAGAAGTCGTAAGTCCGATCTTTGAGGGAAATGTTTAGGTGATAATACAACCCTAGACCCCTCACTCGGGCATCCTAGTCTAAAAGGGCTAGGTTGTAAGACCCACAACTCGGGCCACTTAGCTTAAAGTGCTAGGTCGTAAGACCAATCATTAGATAACTTCTAAGGAAGTAATAAGACCTACCCAACTAAAAATATTTGGGCTACCTTCAATGAAGGCCATAAGTCCCACTATCAGGGTAACTCCTAATTAGAGCCGTAAGCCACAAACTAAATAAATTAACGGGCAACTTCTAAGGAAGTAGTAAGCCCCAACTCAAATTAAATTTAAACTAAAATCAACATCTAACCACTTCAGTCTACTCGGGATCCCTGAGAGGAGGCAACCCATGACTGCTAATCAGATTCCCTAGACATTACGGTCAATGATTATTAGTGTTGGTAGACTGAAATACGGTATACCCGGGACGACGGAACCATGAGATCTTGATCGAGTTTACCTCCATCTTCCCATAATTGAGACTATATATATATATAATTTATTCATCGTTAATCGAGAGTTCTCTCTTACGTAGTAAGAGGGATAATTAACTATGAGTGCTTGCGCTCATAGGAAGTAAAAACCCCAGATCTATAGACCCTGACACTACCCTCAAGGGAAATCTGATTAATTTCAATCTGACATAAGGGAAATTGAATCATACAGCTGCAAAGCAGGATTCATGCATTCGTACCATTTTTCTTGAGCCAACACCTCTTTAAAGCATGCATGCGTAGCTTTGAATAATGAAGACAAAAAGATATTATAATAATGGTTAAAAGTGCAGTTGAAGACATAAAGAGTCAACCAAGGCGGGACACCAGAGCACAAAATTGAAAATCTACACTTTTTCTACAAAACAGAATTATCATAGAGTGGTACAAAAAACAGAAACAAGGTGTACCTACGCAGATGACATAACACTTATAAAAAAAACAGCTCATGTGACCGCAGCAGGAACCATGCCATGAAATTGTGCATGCTGTAAAAATTTAGGTTACTTCGAGTGCAAAGGGAATTATGTTGAGGGCAAAGGGGGAGAGAGGTACAATTCAAACGTACTAAAGGTAAGGGAATCCTACTTCTCCATTGGAAGGCATGCGAGTAAATCATTTGAGGGAGCAGCTTTCACTACTATGAGCTCTTGATTAGTCTGCCTTCTCTCACTTGTTTCAGGCGTTTGGAAAAAGGTCATCTTGCTAGATATTATAGAGATGCCATTCTTTCTCATTCATGAGATAACCTGGGTCATACCTTTAAATCAAGTTCTTTCACACCTAGAAATTAAGGGGCCACTATCCACCTTTCTTTCAACAAAAGAGGAAGATGAGAAATTTTACAATCCTATGGATTTCTCAATCTACCAAAAGAATTAAAAGAAACTTCATGCTGAGGCATTTTATTGCAGTAGAACAAGGATTTCATTATTTTTATCACATTTATCAATCCGTGTTTTTTTCTTTGTCAAATTCAAATCCACTCAAATTCTTTAATCTCTAAAACTAGATGGATTGACAATAAAAATTAGAAAATGTGATAATTGTTGACCCCAAATATATTTTGATGACAAATACGAGCGCATTATGCTAGATCGACAGTCCACTTACATGACATCGCATGAGGCGGGTCCAACGTGCCCTAACGTTACACGAAATCACCAAAATCGTTGTTTGTTTGCAATATTAATAGCACCAAGGCATTCTGAAGGTAGAAATTATCTACGAAATGCCTTTCATGCGTAACTAAATTGACTGACAAAAAAATAGCGAACTATGAGCAAGTCGATGAATTTTTTTAAATTAATATTTATTATAAAAGTTTAAATTTTAATTAAAATTAATAATATTGAAAAAATAATACTAATAAACAAAATTTAATTTGGAATCTTAGGGTACACTTGTACCTCGTAATGTTGCTACAAATAAAAGGACAACTCAATACTTTTTTTAAAGTTATTAATCATAAAATTTATTAAAATAATTAAAACCTATACCTAAGCCCTTCCTACACACAGTATTCTACACAAAACTAAAATACTTGCATTAACACAACCGCCGCCCCTAACTCCTTGCTCGCAAAACTCACCCTCTCTCAATCGAGTCTAACGACCCCCAAGCCATGCGACTCTCTACTCCAGCTACCCTTTGCGTCGCTGATAGTGTGCGACCAATCCACCTCACCACCCACTTCAGGCCGACACACGTGCCTTTCCTGTACCCAGCTCATCACAACCTAGCTAACCCACGCCATACCTTGCATGACCCTACCCTTACACGTCGATGACCCCACCGGCCATATCACCTACAACGACCGCCATCAACACCAGTTGTCAGTCGTCTGCGCAGTCAAGACCCCTCACTCTCTCCTTCCTCTTTCATCTTCCCCTTTCTACTACTTCTTCTTTCCCTATTCCCTTCCCCCCAACTCTCTTTTCATTTCATATTTAATCCTTCCTTCCCCTTTTCTCCTCCTCCATCTCTTCTTTATTTCCTCTCTATCTCTCTCTTCCTTCTCTTTCTATCTCTAAATAGAGAAAAAGAAATCTCATTCCTATTATACCCTTAAATTTTCAAAATGGTAAACTTAAATTTTTTCCCCAAAATTATATCCCAAGATACCAACTTTTATAAAAAAACAATATATATACTGAGAGAGAGAGAGAGTTCACTCGGGAAAAAATGGCGCTTCGATATGAACCCCGCTTCCTAGACTTAAGGTTCAATTGGCTTTTAATTTGATGAAATTAAATTTAATTTCATCTAATTAGGGCCCAATTTAGGTAAATTGACGCTCGACGACAATCGATTGAGTCGATCGAGCACAGTCGGGCTCGAATTGACTCAATTTGGGCTCGAATTGAAAATGTACGTAAAAAATCAACATATCATATTATATTCTTTTCTTGTGTGTTTAAACTTTATATTAGAATTATTTATCCTACTAAGCTGATATATCATTCGAAGTTAACTATGGTTTCAAAAAAATAAATGAAGCAGGTGGGGAAGTAAATAGGGGACATGTTTTTCCCTATACAATACCTTTTTAGGTGAATAAATTTGGGTGCATAAAAGATCTGTATGATGCACAACAACAAAAACACCAAGCCTCTATCCCACTTCAGGATGTGACATTCGAATTTCTATTTTAAGTTTATTTAAAATCTCTGCATTAAATTTAATGAACTCACGTAATGCATATTTAGTAAAGATTGAGATAGACTATGTTTTTTTATCATCCAATCCTGATTAGTAAAACTAATATGAGTATTAGAGAGAAATCTATCTGATTGGATTGTATGCCTCTATCATACCTTACTATTGACAGGAGGGGGCCAAAATGGGGGAATGACAGGTGCAATGATTGAGACAAACTATTGTAAGAAATCAAGAGGTTTTACAGAAATTATTTGAGCTTACCACTGAAGAAAGAAGTAATGTTTAAAGGAATCATCAAACTCCTTCAGTGCATGAGATCGGCTACCAAATCTCCTTTCGGAACAAAATTTCAGCACAGAAGTATTTAAATAGTTTACAATAATTCCAAAATGAATGAATGAAAAGGGAGATGCAGTTAAGCGTGGGTCAGCCAAGTATGCAGCTATGGAGGAGGTACTTACCCATCGTATAACTACATATCTAAATGTGTGATGGCCAACCAAGAAGTTTTGGAAATTGAATATTTGATTAAAATTAAATCAAATTAATGATCTTGAATAGCATTCCCTCCATTTTGAAAATTCAAACTTAAATAATTCAATTTTTAATTTCAAAAATTCAAAATTTTAAAATTTGTAAATATTAAAAAAATTGCAATTATATAATCTTATACAATGAGCATACAACATCTAAAAGTGCAAATTCTAATTAAATTCTTCATTGTGTTCCATATAATGGGCCTTTGATCAGAAGCAACTTCTTTCTTGATCTGGTCTTTTGTGTTTAGTCCGGATCTTCATCCTTTGTCCTTCTTATGCCACGTTATACGTTTTGTTCAATTATATTTTTCCACAAATAAACATGTGGCTAGATTAAAACAACGGTTTTCTCCATCTATGGCAATATGAAGGACAATATAGTACCAAAAATTTTCCAAGATGTAAGCTTTCCCAAGATGTAAGCATGTATATATACAAATTTAATAGTTAATTAACATCCAATTAAATGTTTTACTGTAATAAATTATTAAATATTGATTAATGTAGCTGAATCAGAAACTAATTAAGTGAATGTTATAGCAATTCCACTTAAACTGGCATGCATAAGGCTGATGGAATCCTATGGCTGGCAACAACTGAAATGTTTAGTGGACTTAGGAATGCTATTATAATATTAATAATGGAAGGGTAGTACAACTCATGGTTTAAAATTGCGCAATATGAGCCTCGCCTTGAGGCCCGCCTTTGCGCAATTTCAGTGAAAAGCGCCTTGAGGCTTACGCCTCAAGTTTTTTTTATGAGGCTAGCGCCTCAACTTAGTTGAGGCCCGCCTTAAGGCGCGCCTCGCCTCACTGGCTTGAGGCTTACGCCTCACCCAATATATATTAAAACTTACATAAATCCTGAAGTAAAGCCGCAAACAAATCACACTTTGTGTACCCCCTAGTCGCAGCAACTTCCTCTCAACTTCCTTAACCTCTAACCCGTCGCCATTTTTTAATATATTATTTGAGTATTATATAAAAATTTACTTTTAACATTTATTTGCACTTAACACAATTTTTTTATTATAAGAATTTTAAACATTGGTACAACTTATATAATAAGATGAGTTATGTTAAGGCATTAGCATTTCCTTCTTCCCCTCCCACCCGTTAAACTTCCTTCTGCATTCGAACAAAGAGCAGGAATTGGGGCTGCTGATGATGCTAGCTGCCGTTGTGGTTGCTGGAATTTGAAATTACTGAGGGCGGCTGGTGATGCTAGCTCTGCTGTAGTTGCTGAAATATGCTGAAATTAGTGTGCACTGTTGCTGAAATATGCTGAAATTAGTGTGTACTGAAATTAATTGCTGTTATTCAGAAAGCAATAGCAAAATAAAGGAATTTCTGAATGCCGAATGCTGCTATTTGCTGAAATTCTTGTGTGCTGAAACCAGTTTGCTGAATTTAGTAGAAAAAGGAAGGAAGGAGAAGAGGGTGATAAGGGAGGAAAAAAGAAAAGACTTTGGGTTGAAGGAGGAAGAGTGCTTTTGAGGTAAATATGTAAGATTTATATATATATAGCCTGAATTTGTGGTAGAATGTATATGAAAGGAAAATGTTTATGTTTAAGTTGTTTATAAATGGAAAAGAGGTCAGGTTTTCAGAGAGAATCACCCGACTACCCTAGAGGACGAGGTGAGATGCCAAAACTTCGGTATATGAAATAATAACACTTTTTATAATTGTAACCACTTTTTTATATGTTTGCGATAGCATTATTTCTAGTTTTATTATGTATTTCATAACTGGTTCATCGAGTATTTATTTCACTAACAATTTTGATTATTATAAAAATGTGATACATATTAAAAGGGTATATGAAAAGGCTAATGAGATAGTCATATATAGGGGATAAGCTCGCACAAGTAAAGGTGAACAATCTGCCAAGGTAAGCTTTAGGAAAGTCATATGGGAGATACCCTACGTTCTCTCAATTCTAAAAGTTGAGAATTCGGATCCAACCTTAAATGAGAATAGAGGCCTTCAATTCTAAAATTTGGGAATACGGATCCAACCTTGAATTTGAGAGCTAAGAGTATGCAAAAGCCTACAGTCATCATATGACTTGCCTAATATATTGAACAGTAAACATAAAAGGAAACGTGAAAAATTAAATATACATTGATGTTTTGTACAGCTTATGATTATTATAGAAATCCCCATATGATTTTCAATTAACTGCAAAATGTTTCTTATTTCTTATACATTGCTTGTATATTACATTGAGCTCTAGCTCAATTGTATTGGTTGTATTGCAGGAAAATAGGAGCCAGTGAGGCTCTAGGCATGAGGGTTGCCTACATGTTTTATGTGCATACGTTTTAGATGTACGTAGGTCAGAGTAGAAGCTATACAAGCAAACTTTTGGGTATGTAAATATTATTGAAGTTTAGTAAGCGCTGTATTTTTTTTAATGTGATTTAAATATGCTTTCAGTTATGCAATATTGATGCCAATTAAGAATTGAAAAACTTGTTATGTGGGATAGTCTGGATAGGCTATTTTCTACTTACATGATCCTAATAGAAGTATTTCAAGATGGGTTTTAGTAAGAGATGTGTCTCTCCAGATTCTCCCTCTCTGTTACACTCTAAGTTGTTCTAGGAGAGGTTAAAATGGGAAGCATGATATGCATACATCTCCTTTGTAGTCAAGATGTTAAACCACTGCACCTTATTATTATACATTCCATCATCATCATCATCACACCACATGCTTCAACATAACTATTAGGAATAAGCTAATAGCATGACAAATGTTTGCGCAAAGTGAAAATAAGCCTCGATATAGAAGTAGTGATCTACACTTTATATTTTAATTAGTTTCTACAATCAAAATTAAATTTATAATACATGATAATTTCCAATTACTTTAAAAGATAGAAGCAAATGTCAAATAAACTATTTATCTATTTTTGCGTCATGGAGAACAACAAGAGAAAATAGGTCTATTTGAAAATGATGCTCATCTGAAATGAATAGCAGCTTTAAGAATCACCCCACAAAAACTATAAAAAACGTAGTAGTACAAAGGTATGAAGGGTATATACCATGTATGCACACTGAGCCTTGAGAGCATGCAGGAAAACATTCACTTCAACTGTCAAACTTTGCTTTGGGGGAGGTCCACTTTGGCAAATATCGCATCTACATAAAAATATCTTTAATAAAATAAACGTAAACAGTACAAACGAAAGAAGATTATTAGAAAGTCAGATTAAAAAAAAATCATGCCAAGAGTAGATCAGCCTCTTCTGTCAATATAGAACCAAGAAAAACAAGCAATTAACAATCAATATTGGCTAACTTGTCAAGAGTTAACCCTACATGCCCAAGCATCGTTATGAGTACTAGAACACACAGCAGCAGGTGGAGTTTCAAGAAAGGTGATGACAACCATGGGTTCTCTTGCCAGTGGATTGGCAACTACAATATGGCAACAGCAGCTTGATAAGATACTGCAACTCCATTTTGTTCAGCTAGCTTACTCCTAATTTGATTCAAATATGCATGGCTGTCACGACCCGGCCCGGTGAGCTCGCATAGACGAGACGGGAACGGATTGTCGGACGGTATATCAAATTTTTATTCCTTAAAACTAACTCAATAAATTTGAAAGAGCCACTAAACTTCAAAATATCTATAAACTGATATAATAAACATAGATATCTTTCTTCTTGAGCCCCACTTCTACGGTATACATTTTCACCCATTCTACTCAATTGATTAACTTAAACATACCTGAAAGATTGTAACAACTAACAGTAAGCCAATGCTTAGTAAGTAAAATACGATTTTAAACTACAATAATTAAGGCAAAATGAACAAAATGCTCGATGCCACATTTCATTTAAAACATAACATAAATTGATTTTCTAATAACATATCTTTTGAACATATATTCAATCCATAAACTTATATTACGCATATTCATTTTCATTCATCATATTGATATTCATATCATTCATAACTTTTTCATTTTCGTATATTTTACAACCGTCACAGGAGCCACCGTCTAGTACCATAAAGGTGCTCCTTTATCATTTCCTTTTTCATATCATTTACCATTTTAACGTGCACGAGTACAACGTCCCCAGCTAGTACCATAAAAAGGTGAGCTCCATCAATTTAGCATGTACAAACAATCACTCAGTATAACAATCATATCATCTCATTTCTATAACATATAAACTTGTCATAAGATGTAGCATATAAAATTTCATGATCAACCATTAGACAAGAGTAAAGATTCTATAAACATGTTTGGTCTATCAAATCATATAACTTGAGAGAAACAAAAGTCATTACTATAAATAAAGAACCATGTATACTTATAGAATTTAGGAAATTGATTCTCTTCGCTAATCCTCTTTCCTTTGAGGTCACCTCAAAATACCTATAAGAATTAATTTCTCCTTCAAAAATCTACAAAATAAATTTAAAATAAAATCTTCTCTTTCTAAACCACCCTAGACTCTCTCTCTCCCTCTCCCTCTCTCCAAATGATCACATAAAGCAAGTATATATTTTAAAAATTCATATTTTTGTATAATTACATATTTCATCCAAATTAACCCTTTACCCTAACCTAAAATTATTTAAAATAATTTCTATTTTCGGATTTAACCTAAAACCTTAATTTTGGAAAACCTATTTTCATTAATATGCTTACTTTTGCATGCTAAAACTTCTCATTCATTAAAATAATAATAATGGAAAACTAAATTTCGGATTTAAATTAAATTAAAATTACAAAAATGACATTTTGTATAAAAACCTTAATTTATATTTTTAGAAACCTTCCTATAATCGTTTGAAACATCGCTTCTCAGGAAATTTCTTAAATTTTCAAAAATATGAAAAAGCCCTAATTTTTCTAACTCCACACTTTGAAGAAAAACTCCATTTCCAAGCATAAAAGTACCTCCTAAACCTTCCCTAACATTTCTCCTAAGTTTCTCTAAAAATTTCTAAGTTTCTTCACAAACCCTAAAATTTTCTCCTCCAATAATCTAAGAGGAAAAAGAAGATTTTCAAGTTTAGAAACACACCTAAGTGCACCTTAGAGTTTCCCCTACAATTTTCTTCCAAGAACCTTGCCGAAGAAGTCGTCGGAGCCGCTGCCCGTCGCCCCTGAGAAGCCAACTACATGAGACCTTTGGAGGAAGACCAAGCAACCAAGTTACTTGGGAGGAGTTTGTGAAAGCATTTAGAGACTGGTATGTACCCATGTCAGCTAGACGACATATGCAAGATAAATTCAGCAGATTGGTGCAAGGTGATAGAACAATTACTCAGTATGAGACTAAGTTCACTAGACTTTCCAGATATGCCTCACATATGATACCCAATGTAGAAGAGAAATAACATCGTTTCTTATCTGGTTTGAAGGATGTCATTAGACAACCTTTAATTCCTTTTGACATTGAGGATTATTCTACTCTGGTAGAGAGGGGCCGAAGGATTGAATTAGATTTGCAAGCTACTCAGAGAATAAGGGATTAACATAAAAGGAGAAGCTTTGATGAGAATATACAAAGCAAACTGATTGGAGGATCAAATGAGAAGATACCAAAGTTTAGTCCTAGTGGAGTCAGTGGTGCAACTGTAAGTAAAGTCACGGAACCTTGTGCTAAGTGTGACAGATTACATAAAAGTGAATGTTTGATTGGTTCAAACACTTGTTATTGGTGTCATCAGTCTAGACATATAGCAAAATATTGTCCTGCTTTGATTCAAAAGACTTTAGGAGAAATGAGATCAAATGAAGCACCTTCACAGAGGAATTATGAAAAAATCAAGATGATAGAACCATCAGTTACAGGTTCAATGCAAAATCAATCCAGGAAGAATGTTCGACCACGAGTTTACACTTTGACTCAGTAGGAGCCCAATGAATCAGTAGATGCTGACAATGATAATTGAGATTGCTTTATTGTTTATTTTTGTGACTTGAAATGTTAAATCTGATGTTTAGGTGTTTCGGATTTAGTAGTTTATCTTGATATGTCATGTTAGATTTTTTGCGATTGATCAGATTATTTTGTTATGATATTTCAGATGTTTAGTTTATTTTGTTCTAATGTTGAAGTTTATGTTGATTGGAATGAAAGATGTTTATTTTGTAATTAGAAGTTGTATTTAAATTTCGAGGATGAAATTTTTATTAGGAGGCGAGAATTGTAAAACCCGAAAAATGTCATTTTAAATTTCGTATGCTTTTCGATGCGTCATTACGAGTTTTAATTGAAAATTTCAAAGTTGTCGGATTTCGATGAAATTAATTTTATAAAATTCTATGAAAATTCTAAAAATTTTGATACATAAAACTTATAATTAGTTTTGCTTATTTTGGGAGATAAAAATATTTGAAGTTAAAATATACCCAAAGTACCCATAGTGTTTATTCAAGTATGGATTGTTTAAGTAAGGGTAAAATAGACATTTTTCCATCTAAGGGGAATAAAAGGGACCGAATACATTCAGTCCCTCACTCTTTTGTCATGACTCGACCCTGTGAGCTCGCATAGGCGAGGCGGGAAAAGATGGTCGGACGGCAGATCAAATTTTTAATTTACAATCTTTCAGGTAAGTTTAAGTTAATCAAATTAGTAGAAGAGATGGAAACGTATACCGTAGACGTGGGGCTCAAGAAAAATGGTCTTTCTTCCTAAAACATCATAGATCCTGAGGCTGCAAAATTTGCAAAAGGGAGACAACTCTGTTTGTAAGCGCTCATCACTTATATGGTATGGATTACTATTTAGTAAATCATGCTTTGACTCAAAGCACAAAGCCCAAGTTTTAACATGACCATTGATTGTTATCAATATTGTGTATTCAACAGCATGCATGGTTCCTTTAGTATGTACACTACTAATAGTGTTGTTACATTTGTATTAATATAAGTGTTTTTATTGTGCTTCTTAACATGTCTAAAACTCACATGTAATGGCATTAATTTTCATGAATATGTTATCTTAACACAATCATGCAATGTCTTCATCTAAAATTCTTTCAATTGAAGTCCTTTGGCAACTATAACTAGATGTCCATAATGGATCCCTTGCTTCTTTTGTCATTAATTTTATTTTTGATCTGGGACAATTTGATTTGGCAATGATTTCCGCGAGTCTTTGTATAAAATTTCGGCCAACTATTTAAACCTGAAATATGCATTGCTAATAATGATCTGATCTAGCTAGTAATTGGAGGCATGTATTAGGTCCTCATTGCCATTTAGATCTTTAAGTTGAAACATACTCTTTTAAAGCTAAGTTTTATCTGAGCATCCTTTCTGATTCTTTGGAAAAGTAGATAGCATGGTCAAAGAATTAAGTTGGCATTCATTTTTAATTGATACCAACTATATTTTGAATTTACTTTCCTATAGGTCATCATAAAATGTCAGATTCAATACAATCTTTAAACAATGATCCAGCATGAAAATATGTAGTATTGACTAATGAAGCCAATAACAATACTATGACAGATATTTTTATAGCAAAATAACAAAAAGAGGAATTGCACGCCACGAACAACATTTTGTTGGAGGTTTCAGAAATGCTAGACCTTGCTCTAATTGCCCAGAGCATGTAAGGCTAAGATTAAGGCATCCACGTTAAAGAACAAGGATCTGAAAGAACATATTAATGACACTTCAAATGTCAACCTTGATGAAAGAGATGACTTTGATGTCATGGCATATGTATTCTAGATGCTAATCCATTCAAAATACTAATGACAAGTAAATCAAATGCTTCTAGTCAGAGTTCAACATCAACATCAATCCTCAAATCATTAAGACCCAAAGGTCCATTAGATATTTATTTTACACCAAATCCTGAAGAGGTATTGAAACGGAGAAGAGGTCAATTTAGCAAAGAAATGGATGTCACTAAGAAGGAAATGAGGGAAAGGGTATTCAAGTTTTCTCTAGATGAATGAATGATGCTGGTATTACATTTAATGCAATGAGTATGACAGTTTTCCTATTATGGTCGAGGAACTTGGACGGTTTGGACCTGGAATAAAACCTCCTTTTTATCATGAGCTACGAGTTGCTTGTTTGAAGAAAGAGATTGGACATACACATGATCTATTATGACGTCATCAAAAAGATTGTGCATGATATGTTTGTCCTCTAA